AGAGGAGGTGAATTCGAGGGATCCTCCGCACAAGAACATTTAATTTTTGTTTCTGGTGTCGCTGGATAACTGTCATTACTTGTCGGCAGCAAAGTCCTTGAACTTGGCCTACACCGGTAGTAGGACTCACTGGTTCTGTCACCTAAAATGCAAAACACACACAAAATTCTCAAGTACTGAAATCTGTAGCAAATTTCCACGTTGAACTTTCCTAGTTCAGATCATTGAACTCTCCCAGCCGGTGATGCTTCTCTCAGGACAGAACCCAGTGGACCCTGCACACGGAAAGCCCAGCGCGGCAATGTTAGTACTTCCCAAGGTGTTGCATCTATACTCACTATGGCGATGTGTTTGTACTGCCCAAAAACATATGCAAGAGCACAAAGTAAACATTTTTTAAAACTTGTGCTCACAGGAATAGTGACAACACCTAAAGAGCATGTACTTTTCACATCTTCCCAACTACTCAATTAGCAGAACAACACATCTATTTATTTGATGCACACAGAGGACTACCATCAGCGCTCAACTTGCACGGCAGCCAGCAACCATGGTGGACGGGCTGGTGGTGGTGCCTTACCTTTTTGTAAATCAAAGCTCCTACGTTTATGCTATACTTTCATGCAGTTCTTCACTCAAGTAATAATTTCAGTTTAACCTTGAAGAACCAACTTCAGTGTTCGAATTAGTACCTTTTCCGGAGGTGCAGACGCAACAAGAAAGAAGTTCTTGTGGAGCTTGAGGGACCGCTGGACGTAGCACGACATGGAGCATAGAACTACCCTCTACTAGGAGGTTGACCTACAGAGGAGCATCCATTGCCCACGGCGAGGCAGAGGTGCGCCGGTGAGTGACGCAGCCTCATTGGAAGTGGGCGGATGCGGGGCCGGTGTGACCTAGCCTCGTTGGATTCAGGTGGTGCGGCAGCCGGAGAAGCTTGTACTGCGCATGAATAGAGGGGGGGGGGTGTGGAGATGATGTTTCTACGCATCAAATCTGCTAACAAAAATTGAGAGGAAATATTATAGGATGGTCTAAAAAATACTACATCAGGAACTAAACACCAGCTTGTAATTGAACTAACCTAAATTAAACCAAAACTATAACTATTGAACTAATCTGTAACTATAAAAGAATTGTACTGAACTAAACTTAGTAACTGAACTAAACCAAAAAAATATTTTGGTAATTTAGTAGTTGAACTGATGGTCTTTTTGTCGAATCACACACTGAAGAACTGCTGCAGATCATATGGAAAATATACCAACGAGAAACCAGAGGTGTGGCGGCACCGCTGCATCACTTGTGTCTTTTATAACAATTTTTCAAGAGAATCTGACCATACACTTGCTGGAAAAATGGAACTTCTAATAAATCTATTCGGCAAGAGGCATCATAGGGCATCCTTTCTTTGCGCTATTATACCAAATACCAAACAACAAAAATTGGTTCTCATAAGCATTTCAACAAGCACCTAGACCATCAATTATTTTCATATAAGTAGCATGGATTCGAATGGAGCAACAGTAGGGCATGAGAAGAAAGAAGTAGCAGCAACACCTCAAGATCCTACCATTTTTTGTACATGATGCATATCCCCTGTCGTTTAGATACAGGAGATCATTGATTTCACTTACTGGAGATCATTCAGTTCAATTTGTGTACATGCTCGCACGCCGCATTAGGCAACAGGCATGCACCAGCACACACGCCACAACACACACGCAAGTTCTAGTAGGCAACATGGATTATTTTGTTGCATCCATTGAACTAAAGGGAGCTCCTTCGACCTGTAAGATGAACGGAAAAAAAAGAAAATGAAATTTGTGAAGGTCGAAATGACCATAATAATCATGTAAAACATGTAAACATAACGACAAGTTCATGCATAGTAACATTAGAAGTACACAAAAGAAACCTAAATAGAAGTTCTGTACTTTGAAATACTTCATTTTAGTTCCCAAATACTTCATTTGTTTCAAAATATGAACTTCTGTATTTATGTTCTTAGAACTTATTATGTTTTCCCTGCAAATTACATGGGTGAGAGCATGGTGCTCTAATTCAATTGCATATATCTGAAACTCCACATGCGACCTGAACTTATGCATAACAGTATGTGTGTAGAATACTTGTAAGCATAAGAAAAAGACAGAGTGCACATATAATTTTCAAGATTTCCTTGATGTTCTGCATATTAAAGTTGATTTACTGAAAAGAATGCAATTTTTGAACTGAAAATCAAGTAAAAGCTGAACTCATATAAATTTCAAGGTCAAAAGAACCTCTGCATCCATCAAACTTCATATCCTGTAGTTCAACTTCTGTAAAAATAGAACTTGTGGTATACCTCATAAATCAACAAGAGAACCTGCAGAAAAATATACATGTTCTCATTGGCATATCAACAAGCACCTTCAGAGAACAGAGTGTCATATGCCCTTATCTACAAAGAAGGCACCCGTCCATGGCAGAGAAAGCATTGTTCAGAGAAAGATCAATGACACAACACACATACGACCCTGATTCTTCTTAAATTTATCACCCTCTCATTGAGCTCAAGTTGTACTGCAACTCACATTTTGAGTGACCGGCGGCGGGGCAAGAAGTTGGACTGATGACATGTAGATCTTCCAGTTGACTAGCTTGTGGGTGAGGACAGCAGGAGGGAGCAGCAGTGAAGGGGTGGAGGAGCAGGAAGGTCAAGTACGAGGCAGCGAGCGGAGCACCTCGAAGAGAAGAGGGGGCTGGGAGGAACGACAGAAGGAGGGAGGCCTACGGTGCTGACCTGAGATGCGATGGGAGCGGAGATGTGTTGCAGAGTCAAGGGCAGTGCTGGTCTCGCCGGGCCGGAGGAGAGACGGTGGCGGATGGGGATCGGATGCACCGGGGATGGGGCGCGCTGGGGCATGGGGTCGCCCAGGATGCGACGCGCCGGGGTTGCAGGTCGCTAGGGATGCGGTGCGCCGGCGCTGGGGAGGGGGCGGCTGCGGCGCACTGGGG